ACTGCTCCAGACCAGAGCTCTTTTTGAACTCAGCACTGGGCCTTGCTCCAGTTTAACGTGCAGCCCCCAAAACCTTTGTATTGGCAGAAAGCAGGGGAAGGAGGCCCATGTAAGCACCACCTTAGTGAAAGGTGCTACTGAAAAGTTTTTGTTGTTTTTCACATCTGCAGCTTGAGAGCATGATGTGGGGGCAGAAATACTTTAAGCTGGTATCACCATCAAACATGTTGGATCATGAAAACACAACCAAAGGGTGTAGTTTCATGGGACGTGAGCTTGGACAGCGAAGCAGCTTACAAGTTCCCACCCTACCTGCTCATTTCAGCGATCCTGTTTACAGCACAGCCTCACAAAGAACTTTACTGAGGCAACAGAAAGAATGGTAAAGCATGGTGCAGGGGCAAGAAGCTGGCTTCGCTGCTGAAGCCAAATCTTGTGAAACTACACCCTAAATATTTGCTGTGAAAAGAACAGCCTGCTCAGTAACACTTGCCAAAGGTTTGCCAAACACCTGCTCCAAAACTTCAGAACTCAGACCCAGCCAACACTCCAAAACTCCAAACAGACTCTGCCAAGAGTTATATTGGGCTGATATAGTCACCAGACAACCTCAGACTGGAAGACCAACCACAGTCCCAATAAATAAATAAAATTCAGGTTGTGATCAGTTTCAATAAATGCCTTTGACCAAAGATGATTTACATGCTGCTTAGTTCCCTTGAGTTAGGGAAACTTAAGTCAGTAACAAAAGTAACAAAACAGTAAGAATTAGCTTTCTGTTCCAGGAAAAAAGCCCAGCATTACCACTAATATACATTTGAACATCCTTTTCCCTATTCTACATTTTTGGGGGGCTGCATTTATCTGTCTTATGATTAACAGCTCGAGACAAAAAAGAAATCAGCGTGTGTTTTTAGGCTTTTTTTCCTCCAGTCTGAAAATTCAGAAGTATATTAAAAAAAAAACATTTCAGAAGTCATTTACCCAAAATGAAGGTGTGACAGCTGGAAAGGGAGAGCCAAGAAAACTTTCTGCTAGCACTTTGTGAAGAGGAGGCTGCAGAACAAGTTTCTCTTTAAAAAAAAAAAAGGTTGCAACCGGTTTATCAGGTTAGAGGAATTCACTGGTTCTTCCACCTCTTCCCTGCCCGCCCCCCTTTCTTTCCAAATGCTCATCTAATCAGCTTGTTTCTTGCCGAATTTGTTGATACCTGAGGAAATAAACTGCTCTTGCAGCTCACATAAACAATCAATAGGCATTTGAACATGCTTTAGAGAAGTGGTAATTTGCTATCACCTGAAGAAGTGGCAACCTCTCAGTATTTTCAATTTGAGCATGGTTTAGCCAAGAGGGAAAACATGCCTGGGTTAACCTATGAAGAATATGAATTAAATTTATCACTAATGTATTGCATCCAATGTAAAGTTTGATGAAAGACCAGCAAGACTAGGACAGTCTTACAAACAGGTTTTTCATACTTATATGTCACTCCACAGACAAAATTTGGGTGCTTTCAATAGGTCCAGAAGCAGACCCAGCTCTCATGAGAACCTCTCCCTTTTCATGTACATCGTTCAAAGAAGGATGGTAATTACAGCTAAACACTGCAGACACCTCTCCAAAGTTATTAGCTCTTCTTAGACTGCATCCTTTGTCAGGGAGACATGCAAATATTGCCTTGCAAAAGGAAAGCAATATGTCTCAAGGCAAATCATACTGATTTAGCCAGGTTTTCTGTATGGGAAGGATTAAGAAATCCACAACACTTTCAACTTAGCATTAGATCTTTAGCTTAAGAATCCCTATGGCTATAATCAAAGAAGCACATGAAGATGTCAGCTTTTTAATGACAGTGTAATGGGGATGAAAGAAAGGTAAAGTTCATTCTGGTTTTGCTCTTTTAAAACAAGCTTCCATTCCTGCAAGGTTTCAGATAGCAACTTGAAAACATTTTTTCCCTTAAAAGTTTGGAAACTGGGAAACCATAAAGCTCTAAAAAGAAAAGGAAACTCTGGAAAAGAAAACACTAAATCACATGCTAAATAAGGCAGTCCCATGATTTGAGGATCTGACCAAAGAAACGTATTGAGGATGTCCTAATGCTGTAGGAAGAAATGCAGGACGCTGTTCCCTTTAGTAAGTATTACAGGTAATGCATGCTTAGAGGCTTACATCACAGGTTCAAAACAGTTCCAAACATACACTTGAACTTGAGATTTCCTGCTTGTTTTGTTTAAAAAAAAAAAAAAAAAAAAGCCCTCACATGTTTTCTACTCAGTAGCATTCTTCAATTACAACACTACATCTCAGTCAGCAGTTTTATGTTCATCATTAATGGCCCTACAACAGAGACAAGTTATTACTGCCATTTTGAACTAAATACATTAAGCAAACTGCTTCCAAAAGGCATACACTTTATGACTTGTGGTAGTTATTTCCCTAATATTTGTACACGTACAGGATCTTTCCTACCCACCCAAAACATAGCCAGCAAAACATTGCACATCAGCTACAGGAAAATCCAGCCGGATCCCATAAATGAACTAGAACATGTGGAATCGGATGCTTGTTAGCCTAGACAAATACAGTAAGAAAAACCTTGTAAAAAAATGTACTAAACATACACTACAACAAAATAAGCTTGATTACTTAGGGGACACTGTACTTCAGAACCTCTCTTTGTAAAAATCACACAGCAAAAATATATTAGGGAAAACAGAAGTGTTTTAGAATACTTGAGACAAACCCAAGTAATGAGTTGTCCGAGGTGCAATGCTATGAGAATATGAAGTACAATTGGAATGATGCAACATCGGTTGAAGAGTTTTGTTACAAGCATAGTGAAGATTTATCCACAGACTGTAGGTTTTTGGTAGAATATCATTCCTAGAAAGTGACCCTAAAAGTAACAGGAGGTTTTCTGCTGCCAGTGGGAAAACTCCAGGCCCACAGCTGCTGATCTACCATGTATCAGTTATGAATTGCCAAATCAAAATCAAAGAACGGTTGAGGTTGGAAGAGACCTCTGAAGCACAGGTAAAACTTACAACGGCTTTATGGTTGGGGATTTTCACTTCCCTCTACGTGTAGAGACTGAGAACCCAAGGCAAAAGCCAGAAGCAGGTACTGAAACTTTCATTTATAAGATTAAGATGAGTGCTAAAGTGAGCAATTTTCAGCTGCATCATCAGATTCTCTACCACAATCCAAGCAGGGTGGGGAAAGCTAATTTCACATACTCTACAACATTATCTCAAATCAAGGTACACGTCTACTTCCTTTTCAAATAACCACTTCGCCCACCAGTACTTTTGCTAATCAAAATACTTTACTGAGGGAAAAACATCTGTATGTGTCAATAAGTACCTGACATCCTTAAAATATACAATACACTTAAATCGTTTAATGGATTTATCTTTAAAAATGCAGAAAAAGAGTCTACTGTAAAAGAATACAGACTTCTACCTTTTGCTGACATTGCAAGTAAGAGGGTGAATTAATTCTCCCCAACTCCCATGGAATCAGGAAGTATGGAGGCGCAGGGAGACAAGCTTAGGTAAAGGGTGTTCCAGCACATCTATGACAGAATTGGCCACATCACAACTGGCATCCAACAATTAACAGCAAAATCATTATTTGGTTGCATAGATATGTCAAACAAAAAGGGTAAAATTGTTGTTTTTCAAGAGTCTCTACCACACCTACACACAAAGGTAGTATTTCCTTTTATTTGCTAAATCAGACCCACCTACAGTGCAATTTACAGCAATAAGATACAATCTCTCATAAAGTATTGAGTGTAATTAAAGTGTGTCTGTTATAAAGGTAAACAGAGTGTACTAGGCTAAGCTGTTCCAGATGTCTTTAGTGCAAGATCTGGGACAAGATCAAACCTGCAGCTGCACATTTTCTCAGGGGTTATTCTGAAGCATTAAAAAAAAAAAAAAAAAAAAAAAAAAAAAAAAAAAAAAAAAGCCTCTTGGTCTTAGAGTCTAGCAAAACTTGTGCAAGTAGAATAAATGCCATCCACAGCTGATGTTGAGAGATTTTAAAACACAAGTTACGTATTTCTGTTTTTAAAGGTACCCACTCCAGAGTAAAATGTTAACCATTCAATATCAAAGAGGGTTAGGACCTAGTCTGCCAAGTTATCTCTGTGTCACCAGAAGTTACAGCAACATGAACCTGTTCTACTGCCTAAGCAAGTTTCTTGCTGAAACACACCTACAAGTGATTCAGACAAGGTGTGGAAAGCCAGTTTTATATGTTCCACAAAAACGCACTATTGTATTTTTCCACTCAAGCACATTTTGCATGCATAAAAGAGAAATAAAGCAAAATTTCATGAACTGAGTACATATACAGTACTTGCATTAGAAGTTTTAAAGTAATTTATGACATCTTGAAGTGCAAGAATCATATAAATTTACAGATTTATTGTTAGTGCAATACTAAATTAGTCAAATAGTATAATACAAAAGTTGTAGAAACAATCACTTCATTATCCACTGAATCTACTATTTGGAAGAATGATATATGACAAACACAGCTGATGTTTTATGTAAGCATAGTTTTGAAGAATTCAACTAATTTCAAGAAAAACAACCAAGAAAAGGTTAATATTTTAATACACATCATAGCAGAGAACCCATGGATTAAAACATGACACCTATATTTTGAAAGTTTGATCAGTACTGCATTTATCATGTTTATCACCCTATTTATTTGGAATAAAGGGAGGCCTACCAACATAATCAGAAGCCAAAACTTTCAAGAGCCATAGCACGAGCTCACATACTCTGGTGCTGTACATAACTTTCAGAATTACAGGGCTCCCAGTTCAAATGCTTCAGGTCTCTTTTTGGTCAGTTTTAAACACAAGAACTTGCTAGTGATTTCACAGTGAAAGACAAAATGAAAGTGTATTTCTTTTATAGGACAGTTGAGTCTTGCCCCCAGATCCCCCTACATTGCCCCTGTTGCAAAGAGCAGTGCCTCACCTGTTGAAGAACCCGGTCCAGAGGCTCTGCTTTGCCCAGTCCCTCTGGTGTTAAACCACTCACTTCACGACATTGATCACTTAACTCCAAATTGTCTGCTTTCACCAGGGATTTGTGCAGTGTCCCTACCTAAAAACATTGAAGAAACGATGGACAGAAGTGAGGAGCGATCGAAAACAAGCTCTGTTTAACAACGCGTTTACAATGCAGAAAAAAATCAGAAAGGTGCAGTATCACTACCTCAATGACTATCGTGATGAACAAAAAAAAGGCATTTTTTGGTAAAGGTTTCAGAAATGGAGACCCTTGGCCTAGGTTTCCTTCCCTCCCACCCGGGAGAGCCGCAGGAGAGCCATGCTCTCTGCTGAGGGCCACAGGAGCGGCTTCAGGCCTCGCCGCTTGGGCTTGGAGCTGTGTTTCGGGGGAATTTTTTGTTGAAAAAGGAAGACCACCAAAAGTTAAGGCGCTTTCCCGAATCTGTTCACGAAATTGATAGCCACATTTGTTTTGTTACAGCCCTTCATTTCTGAGGGATTATTATTCACGAGAGGGCTTTGGGAGGGAGGTCAAAAAAAAAAAAAAAAAAAACAACTTTTTTTCAGATCAGCCTCAAAATTAGAGAAATTTAAGATTCTCTGAAAAGTTATCCAAACAGTGGGCTATTTTTCTGTATAAAAGAAGAATAAAAGCGCCCAGCGTGTGCCGTGAGGCGGCTGAGGAGGGGCACCCAGCCCCAGCCTGCCCCGGGCACCTCCAGGAGCCCCGAGGAGCCCTCAGGTTTAGGGCCACCGATGGTCCAAGGGGGCCGGGGAGGTGAAGGGGGTGGGAAGAGGCCTGGCTTTCTTTCAAAGTTGCTTCTGCCCTTCAAACAGAAGGGAAATAACTTAAAGAAACAAAAAGGCTGCGCCCGGGGAACGCGCCCTCGGACCGGGTGTCGAAGCCATACCTTCTTGCCGGGGAGATCCACAACTTGCCACACCAAGAGAATTAGTTCCCTCTCATCCGAACCCAGTTTAGCCCCATATGCACCAGCTGTTGCCCCAAACAACACCACCAAAGAGTCACTGCGCGAAGCCGTCATGACCACAGGGGGGAAACAACTACAATCAAAAGCAGAGGTCAAAAAAAAGAGGAAAAAAAAGAAAAAAAAAGACACACAAACAGACAAAAAAAAAAAAAAAGGAACAACAAAAAAATCCCGCAAAGGTTCACCCCCTACCTCCAAGTGATCAAAGGGGAAAGGAGAGAACGAGGAGTCACAATATTAAAAGGAGAAGAAAGAGCTACTTAGGAGGTAGGGTTTCTGAGACAAAAATGAAAAAAATAACTAAAATGGAGAAAACTTGCATCTCTACCTGTTCCCGGTGATCTCCTTCTTCCCGGGGCTGATTGGGAGGTAAAATTAGCAAGCTGTGGGGTTCTTTCCCTCTGACATCATGGCAGAAGCCCAGCCTGAGCTTGGCCTTTTTTTTTTTCTTTTTTTTTTTTTTTTTTCCTCCCCTTCCCCTTCTCCTCTCCTGAGTTACCTGCCCTTGGTGCAGCTCATGTGACTCTAGTCAATCTCCCGGAGGGACAAGGCCATTGGGTCTCTGGGAAAGGTGTAGGAGGGACGGAGGGCGCCTCAACGCCTGGCTGATCCGGCCTGATTGGTTTTTGAGGGAGATGAGAGGCAAACTCCCTTTCTCTCCCTTTCTCCACCCCGCAGGAAGTGTCCTTCTACCTGCTTTCGGTTCGGCGGGGGCGCTGGGGGCTTGAACCGGCCCCCTGCTCGCACCGACTTTTTGGGTTTGGGGGCTTCTTTTTTTTTTTTTTTGCTTTTTAAATCTGAAGAGTGTGCACGTGCGGTTAGGAAAACAGAGCCTTGGGTCTGAAAGGCACAAAACGAAAGCCTTCACCTGCTCCGAATTAATGGCATTTGCCGAGGTCGCCGTGCACGGCCCGGGCCGGTGGTGCCTGAGCTCACCTGTACGTGGAGGGCGGTGTAACCTGCGGGATAGCTGGCAGGTTTAGGCCCTGTTCTCCACGAGGTTTCAAAGGTGAAATAACTTGTGAAATAACTTTCGGTTTTGAGAAAGAGTGGATCTAGGACGTTTTCCAAAGCAGGCATGTGAAGCCCTGCGTTTTCTGTCCTGTACGTACTCAGTAAAGAACTATCGCCCCGGCATTAACCACCGTGCAGATGAGCAGTTTTTCTCTGTACCTCCTCCCTTTTCTGTCTCACAGGTGAGACTGCACTGGCAAAACACCGTCTGGTTCACAAAAACCCTCCTCTAAGCGTTTCTGCTGGATGGCAGCAGTAGGGAAATTATAACATCGTGGCTCCAGACATTTTTAGAGACGCTGTCAAACTCAAATCTATTTTCAAGCAGAAGTAATAATAAATAAGCTAAAAAAAAAATGCTTTGACCACCTTACTATTTATTCCTGTTACCACAATTAATAAGTTACTCATGATTTTTAAAGGGCAAATATTGCAAATTAGATCGATCATATGTATATTTATTTTATTAGATCTTAAACTTGCAATTCAATAACAGTGCTGAGTTGAAATATAGTTTTCACTGACTGAAAAAGGGTGCTGCTTTTTAGCTGCTGATGCCTACCGTGGGGAAACTGCAGAGGTGGACATTTAACTGTGAATATCTGAAGGGTTTAAATATTAACATCCCATTTTCTTTATTCTTTTAACATGCTAATTTTTTTAATTGGTTATTTTTTTATGCTCTTTTTAAAGTCTTATGAAACAGCAGTTACTAAGGACTTAGTTCAGCAAACACCAATTCACATGCTAACAGCATCACCAAAACTATTTCTATTTATTTCAATGAAAGTAACCTACAGTTCAAGGATACCATCTCATAGGAAGATGGTAGAGTTCTTAGAGTTCACAAATTGCAAGTATTTACCTGGCAGGGACTGCAGAGAAGTCACAGTATGGAGGTGTAGCTCACTGAGCGTTACAAGATAGCTGTTAAATGCCTTTCAGCTGTCATCTCTGCTGCTCACGTGTGCAGCTGCCTGAAAAGTAGCCCTGACGATACATCATTGTTATAGAAAGGGCAAATTCCCAAACACTTCAGATGACAACTTTATTCTGTAACATACATGGATTTACATATTCAAAATGTTTTCAGTAGTTTATTTTCTGGCACTGTTGCTACAATATAGCTACCTTCATGGGGGTGCCATTTCATAGCCCTAATATGTACCTATTACATATAAAATTCTGATTATAATTATCAGATTTGTATAAGGGACCATACACTTGATATATTCTTGTCCAGCCTGACAGATATGCTCATAGGCCTTTGTGAACTGTCACAAAGAACGCCAATCCCCCTGCACCTGTCTTTCAGGATCTAATATGAAAGAGTCGAGCATTACAATTTACTTTAACAACATGCCAAGTTAATGAAATCCTACTCGTGTCAATGCCAAAGACCCTTGATACATTTTCAGGTTTTGTAATTGTCTTCCTATTCCCCTTCTACCCGCAAACTTTCATCTCTCTGTATGCAATCCTTAATTACACCAGTCCCTGCAATGTTATGGATTTAAAAAATGCGAAGGAATGACATCGCATGTCTCCAGAGAACAGCACCAGGATCCACTTCCTGAAACACTGTGTGGGATAAGCCCATGTACACTGAGCATTAGCAAAGTTAATTTGTAACCAAGATCTTGCTGAAATAAAGACTTTATTGCTCACCTTTAGCTTTAATCCTGGCAGTCATGTTTACAGAGGTTCTTGTTTGTTTGTAGGCTCCATACAAGAATAATGTCTTGCAAATTTAACTGGATGGAGAATAGAAGTTCTAAAGATGAACATTAATTGTTATCCGAGTTTAGTATTGTGATTATCTTGTTCACTTCTTTTTTTAATCAAACAAAACTGGAAAATAAAACTGTCTTATAGTTAGATCACATAAGAATGCTGAAGAAGCTAATTAAATGCATTGTGCTTGAAATGGATAAATCTGTGGTGCCAATTTAATTTTTCCTATACATACTCCACAGACCACTAGATCAAGACACACTAAGATAAAACAAAAACAAAACTCCCTTTTACTACAGCATTATTAAAAACACCATTGACTGAATGTCCTGATCACAGAAGTCCTTTTGCAATAGCCAATAAAAGGAGTGTGAAAAATGGGGACACAAGATCCAGAGCGATGTCCTTACCACATTCAGAGCTACAGCAAAACTTTGATCATCTTTCAGAGAAACTAAAAGATTATTTGCTGTTCCAAACTTGTAGAATACCAAAAAGTTGTTTGTCTTCCTTATTGGTACTTTAATCATCAGTTAGAAGGAAGACAATGATCTTGTAAAACAGTTTGAAATACCCTGAGCAACGTGAACTAACTTTGAAGTTGGGTCTAACTTCAAAATTGGCCATGCTGGTGTGTGGAAAGGACAAAATGACCTCCAGCAGTCTCTTCTAGCCAAAACTGGTCTGTTTCTGAGAAACAGAGATGCTGAATTAAGTAAGTACGGAGCCTTGTTGTTTACCTGCACAATACGGATAGAAGCATTTTTTTTTCTCTATGCCTCTGCCTCTCCAAAATGAATTGGCACAGAAAATAACATGTGATTTATAAGTAAATGTGAAAAGACACTTAGGTTTCATACCCATTCAGTCCTTGGCTCCTGGATGGAACTATAAGCAACTGTGACAATGTCTTCTGAAGGAGGAGCTTACTGTAACTACTGAAACATAAATGCATACGTAAAGAATTTTTTGGCATCTTTTCTTTAACAGCAAATGAGTGGGAAAGGGCATGGGAACAACTGCTTAGCAGTGTTCTTTGATTGCTGTCCAGATGTTTTCAGAGATCTGATTTTTTGGTCTGCCAGGTAGGTCTTGTCATGATTATAATGCAGTGTAGAGGCCTCAAAATAATTTCCATTGGGATATTCACAAAAGCTTGGCAATATGCAAAATTGCTTCAGAAAGGTGGTTTCCGACGGATTGTTGCCCTGCAGATACTAGCCCCACCAAGCCCTACAGAAATCGTTCACCCAGAATCCTGCACCAGCTGGAATTCCAATTCTACTGACTCAAAGGTAAACTAAAACATAAAAACAGTGAATAGGCTAAATAAATAAAAATGAAGTTGCTTTCACTGTTATGTTACATAGCTTCTCTCCTTTATGGGATGACAATCAATCTGGTGTCTTAATCCTACAAAAGTTTTATACATGCTCAGCTCCTCCCCCTGAATCCCAGTGAATAGATGTTGTTCAGTAGAAATTCTCCAAAAAACAGGTATCAGGCTTCTGAAGATAAAAGACTTTATTTTTCTATGAAATTTATGGACAGATCAAATGTGTATGCACATTAGTGTCCTTCATTAATATTCTAGATTTACACTAAGGTTAGCAATTTAAGCAAATATGCAGTGAATTTAGATTTTTGGATATCATGCTCTTTAAATAGATCTCTAAACAGTTTTTTTTTGGAATTAGAATTGTTGAAACGCTAGCTGGTGGGCAGCTCTCTAAGTCCTCTTGTCCAAAACCATGGTCAGAGATGGACTACTGCCAACACCAAACTGAGCCTGCCAATGATTTGTCTTGGTGAGACTTTAAGACCTCCAAGGACAGCAATTCCAAACCTCCACAGATAACCTGCTCCAATGCTGCACTACGTTGCTGATGAGAAATATTTTCCTAGGAAACTTTTTCCCAGTATCCAATCTGATCTCTCTGCTAAGCTTTCAAATAATTCACTGAAACTAGTTGAGACAGGATCTTTAAGCTGTGGTAAACTAGACAAGCCATGTGATATGATTTGTTACCTAATGAGATGAATATGCAAGTACTTCCTAAACCTTTCAATCTACCTTACCTGTGACTGAAAATTCGCTTTCTGTGGAGCTTTATTGCCCCTAAAATCTGCCAAATAAATTCTCATTGCAATTGGTAACATTCTTGATAGTCTCGGGTACAATATGCAAATGGAAATTCAACAGGATATATTATTTCTGTGGCAGTTCTTAAGCAAACTAATGGTTGGTCTTAGATTAAAACACACTGGTAATCCATTCTCTCTTTGTCTATTGAAAGTATATAGCAGTTTACAAGTCCATCAGTGTGACAACGTAACTAACAGTAAAAAAAAACTGCTTTATAATGATTAAATTTAGTATAATGAGTCATTTGTTACTTCAGCTATAATGCCAAGAAATACACTACCGCCTTCCTTGGTACCACCACCACCACACTTTAGTGAAAAGAGGAAGTACATACACTGATAATTCAATTCACTGTAATGGCTAAAAGCAAAAAAAAAAAAAAAAAAAGCCAAAAAAAAAAAAAAGTTGCTTTCATTCACTACCATGTAAATACAATGCAACAGAATCATCCTATTATCTTTATAAGGAATAAAATATTTAATGACTTCATGTGTTTGATGTCAACAGGACAAACTTTATATCCTGTTGCAAAAAGATCAAGTTGTTAGCTCCTCTTAACAGAAAATGAGAATGACCTGATGTCTCCATTAAACATTTAGCATGGGGGTATTTTATGCTTTATTTTTCATGTATCAGCTCAAAGACTTCCAGCCACGGGAAAAGCAAGACAGGAAATCCTGTAGCCCTCTAACTTTTTGAAAGAAATTTTTCATAGTCACTCTTTCAATGAATTGGTGTTCAACCCACCATATGCCTCATGTAAATACAATCACACTGTAGGTCTAGAAAGTTCTCAGAAGTTCACTGAAAAATGAAATCACTGATGTTTCAAAGTGGGACAGCAAAAGCCACCTGGAACTTTGTATATCCAACTCCAATTACCTTGCATGCAAAAAAAATATATATATATTTAGACAACGTATGAAATGTAAATGTTACTACCTACATCAAAACACCTGCATGCTATACACTACTCTCACATACTGAGAGTTGCTTATCAATTCTGCAAGATAGCAGTGATGAAAGAATTGATCACCAACAGAATACAAAAGACTGTATACTGAAAGTCCAAATTGCTTAATGAAAAACTGACCAAATTACACAACTAACAATGACTTCATGCAAGTTACGCTTTCTGAAGCTTTACTGACTGATACCAGCCTTACGAAAGTATCTTGGCAGAGATTAGTAAGGTGTATAGCTTTGGCTTTTTATTCAGATTATACCACAAGAACTCAGTTGACTTAAAAACCCTGATAAACGAGGGTGTGTCCCTATAATGTTTCATTCCCGTTTGATTTAGCTGCTCTGACACTTGTTTCTTCATTATAATTTAATTAAACGTATTCCACAAAAAGATATGCTAATACACACCTTTTTCTCACCATAGTATAAATAGAAGTAAAATATAAATGCAAAACTTAGGCAAAGCTTAACCAGATGTTGAAGCACTTAAATTTTAAAAACACTTCATCAATGAATTCTGTATAATAAACTGATAAATGCAATTATGTGCATCCAAAGTAAACATGATAGGAGACCTATCATTCAATAATTTCTTCATCTTTCATCTTCATTATGTTTACTTTATTTCATTCAACTCCACCACCAATTACTACATATTCAGGAAGTGACACTGGGATTTCATACACACTCCATGTCTTATTACATCCAATTACAAGGACAGAACAATATCCCCAGAGAAATAGGTCTCTGAAATAACTTTTGCATTTTTGTTTTTACTGTCTTTGTGTTGAGCATGGGTGAGTAAATACCTTTGCCCCTTTGGCTTGATCATGGATTTTATATCCTGTAGAACATGCAGTGGAAGTAGATAGTAGTGTCCTTACTGATACATCTGGTTGATATTAGAGTGATGTGAATTTCTGAGAAGAAACATTGTGAATGAAACATATTGCACAGTCAGTAAGTGTATTCAAGTAAAAGGCAACAGTAACAAAAGAATATGTATGTACATGTATATAGGCACACATATATGAAGGATAGCTCTAAATAGACTCTTCCCTTTGGCACACTGCAGAAATTTTAAATTTAAGATGACATCTGATGCAATTCAGTCCATTTTATCACTTAATAACCACAGAATTGCTTTATAAACATAGATAATATGTAAGTACACGGCAAGCAGGTGCTATGAGTTCTGCCCTTTCCCTTCCCAATACTTTGGAGTTGTGATAAAGTACTATGACAGAGCTGTTTTATAAGTGCCAATACTACCACACCTCCTTTCCAATGCAGTCTGTTAATGTGGCACACACCCTTGTTTGACAGGAAATATCACCTTATGTTCAGTCGTTCTTCAGTTTTCTTGAGTAACTATTTCAATCAGTGTGACATAGTTACCATACATTAAGATTTTGTCCTTTTTACACAGAACTATACTGCTGTGAGGAAAAGGGAAAGAGCCCTAGAACACACACAAGAGAAACTTGCCTGGCACAACCTGGGAGTGGCTACGCAGTGAGTAGAGTCGATGTGCTGATAATGCTCTGGGTGAAGTAGTAACATTTACTTACCATCATTCAACTGCTGTTTTCTGTGGTCTATTGCTTTGCTTTGTGTGAACAGGGAAGCAGAGGAGGCTGACCTCCTCCTTCACTATTTTTTCAGATAGATTAAATCCTAATATGCACTATAAGCAAACATGCCCTCACTGAAGAAGTGGGAATAGTTAGGAGCTGGTTGGTCTGCCATAATATGTGACAAATTGTACTCTTAAGCTGTGGGTTTTATAATAAAAGATGTTTGACATAAATACCAATTTCAGGCACACTTTACTCATCCAGTCTCAGCTCTTCATTCACAGGCTGCCATTGGCTTGTTGTCCTCTCTAACCCTTCAGCACTACTATTTGTGAGGCTACACTCTGAATCAGCTTTGAAATATTGATCCTGATTTAGAAAGTCGGATCTGATTCAGTTAAAACCTAACAGAATGCCACAAAACCTCATTTTTGCAGTGCATTCCTTAAGATTAATCCATTCCTTCATTTTGTTCAGAGGTTGGTCCCACACATAGTTATCCTGGCAAAAACAGTGACTCATGGGAATAGGAAAACAACAAGGATACCGATGTCTTATAGTATCATGAATCCATAGCCTTAAGGCACATCAAGCGTTTTCGTGGCCAGTTGCTACTGAACACCTGCAGCTGTCACTAAAGGTGGCCAGACTGGCTATCACTGTTACAGATGAGTCACAGGTTGGGTAGCATTTTACACCTACTTTGCACAGACATAAATTGGAAGGCTCTGAAGATCAGATCTTCTTGTCTCTTCAGATCTCTGAATTACTTTCTATCTATGCAGGAATCCATGCCTGAGAATGTATCTACAGTAGGCAAAAGTGTATTTTCGCTGTGTAGATTTCTGTAGAAGGGAACATCGTAAAGCAAATTTTTGTCAGCAACATGCCTCACCTGTAAGATTTAAGCTTATGCTGGTCAGCTCCTGGTAAGAACACATCTATTCTCCTGGGGAGCAAGGCAAAAAGACTCAATAAAAGAGGGTGTAGATCTTGTTTAGTACGCAGGGTTCTGTTCTGTACCTCTCACTGTCAGATGAGCCATTCTGTACAGGATGAGATTTTTAGTAAATAATATAGGGCTTTTCCCTTCATTTAACCATATTTTTGTAGTTGTATAAATGTAACCTATTTTTCCTCACAATTTATCTTACAAAAGTGACTTTAAAAAACATTCCTTTGCATTAGTATTGAAAGCGCAAGACTCAGTGCATCCAACCCCTGTGAACCTTCCGGGCGCAGGGAAACAAGGTGGAGCCCACCGCCTACAATCAAAGATTAGCTGCTTTAATCAAAGAGACAGCTTGCATTCTCAGCTTTTGATTTCCACAAAGCCTGTTTGTTTTACTTAAGGCTAGTTTACTACGCCCCTGTTACCATGGAATTGCTAGGGAGCTAAGCCACACCTTTATGAACATACTTAGCACTTCCTGCACAGGGCAGCCTTAAGAGCAGTCTCCTATACACCAAAGAGATAATTGGAAGCAAGAGAGCATAAACAGCTAGATCTTAAGATCTTGGCTGGCTGGCTGGCTAAGCCACTGCATGTCGCCTGTGTGCTCTTGTTACATAGTTCACATAAGGTTTTGGGGAAGTGTTTACCAGGAGATGTATTTTTCAAAAGGATTCCATGCTCATTGATAATATGTTTCCTACCCTTTCATCAGTTTGAATCCAGCTCTTCTGTTGGTGGCTGCTTTGTGACTAGAAGAAAATGAATGGTGGGTTCCTCTCAAATCCCTCTGGGCTGATGTATATTCTGTATTAACAGTAATGGTAGGTTGACTGGCAGTTCCAACCGACAGGATGAGGGTTCATTATATGTAAACAACCCTCCTTCTCTGTCCTTTGAGGCAGCATGGTGTAATTGCTAGATCGCTTACATCCTCCTTTTTCTGGTTCACCTGTAATTTAAATATCAAAATATTTGCCACTTCTGACTGATGCTTAGTATTTATGAGTCTCAGGATTGTTTATTACATAGAAAACTTACAGAAACAATTTTTAAACACTTCTTCAGTATGATAACAATCAACGCACAACGAACATTCATATTAGAAACCTCTGCTTACTGATTAATCATTCCAGTAGTTTCACTGATTCTTCCTTTCTCCTTCCTTCTGATTCACGATATAAAACCATATTTTATTATTATTATTATATAATATTTATTTATTTATTTCCACTCTGTACTGCAAATGGGCTAGCAGTAGAGTTTGTGTGACAGTAAAGAAAAAAATAACACCATATAAAAGACCGGGATGTCAGGTTACCATTATGTCTTTCTTAGAGTTCTTGTGACACGCTACAAATTACAGTAGCTTCTAATGCTTGGGTGGATAGCATGATGATTAATAAGATAGTTACTAGCATAGCAGTAAGGTGGAATAGGTGTGAGTAATTGTGTTCTGTGGGAACTTGATCAACATCCTCCAGCTCATGGGCATGAAAGTATTTCGTAATCACAACAGCTCAAAGAACTGACAGAAAATCAACAGTATTTTAATGCAAGATTCCTTCAGTATTTCTTAAAGCTTAGAATATTTACAGGTGGACAGCTACAGAAACTTAAGAGCTGGGAAACAGTTGCTTTGCTATCTTAAGGATGAAACTTGCAGTATATGTTACCATGATACAGGATCAAATGTAATGGGGAAAGATTCATACTTTAACAGTTAAAATTATGTTGTGCAGGCCTAAAGGCATACAATGCATCTTGGGATGCATCTTCACTGCCTCAAAGCAACAGCACTCTCTACAACATATAGTCACAATATACTACTGAGAAGTGGCAAGGGAAGGGATTGTGAACATATACATACTGGAATGAGACTAGTAGGTGTAAAATATCAGCCAGTTTCATTTATTTGCGCAGTTTATCTGTAGCAGCACAACCAAAACCCTGTATGCAAACAGCCTTGGCAGTTGGGGGTGGAGGTATATACTCTGCAAAGACTTTATATGAAGCAATACCCTTTTACTGGGATTAGTTGCCTTTCTCAAGTCTAGGCTCAAAGGGATTTACAAAACCACTATATACACACAGTCATAGAGCAACTTCTTCATTGTTGTATGGACAATATGCTGTGTAAGGTAGAAAGTTTTTTGTTGTTGTACTCGTTTGTTGTTTTTTTCTTTCTCAGAGGTAGAATATAAAACATCCCTTTCTTAGAAGAATTCTGTGGGACTGGTAACACACAGATTAAGCAGTCAAGATTAAACAGTCTCAGTTAAATCATATGATCACTAACAAAAAAGTTAAGTGTGTTTCAGGAAAAGGGATAATAAAGTCAACAGTTCTGCAAGTCAGGACCACAGGTTCCTTGTTCTTGGGCAACAAATATTCATTGCCAAGTGCTGTTATTGAATATCAGATTTGCTTTTCAGTCTTCTTGTCTTTCCACAATGCAATCAAGGCTAGATTACAAGCTTGTCACATTTAAACAGTGACCTTCGTTTAGCATTGGGTGTGGTGGTTTACACAATGTATGAGAAATACTGAGGCAAAGGATATGTAGTGAAATGTTCTCAAACTTATAAAGCCTCAGTTGGTGCCCTCATTTATTTAAGTTGAAACAACTTTTAGAATGTATCAAGAAGAAGTAGTATGGAGATGAAATACTGAGCAGTTTATTGAGACAAAAAACAGTAATTTTAAGAGCATGTTTCATATATGCAGGAAAAAAAAATCAGAATCCTGTATCTTCTATAGAGCTAAAAGGATAGAAAAAGACATGCAAAGCTAACTAATTTTTGTTTCAAACACTTCAATAGCTTTAACACTGAATTTCAGAAAGACAAAATACAGCAACGGTTCAGTTTTCTAACCTATTTCCTAGATCAAAAAACATTATTTCAAACAATGTAATGTTAACATTTGGATAACAAGCTCACCAAAATGCACAATCCTGTATTATATACAAATATGTATGTATATCTACATGCACATAAACATGGAGTCTTTGTTATATATTTGTTTACATTCCTCACCTTTGCACTCTGTCAGAGTCTGAGGGAGAACTGAGGGATCTGTCTCCTTTTAGCCTTTTTGGCTTCCTAAGATCTTCCTTTAGTTTATATTTCTCTATACTTCCTCTCAAGCATCTGCAAATGCTAAATATAAGCTAAGCATAAAGAAACACAAAGATTAAATGTACAGAGCACAACTTTCCCATCCGAGTACTACAACTATAATTACAAGTATAAATTGAATACATATTTAATACATTAAGACATATAGTCAGTACTGCCTGTCCCTCCCCTCCAGTGAAGGGAAATGACACTTCAAAGAAAAACTGTTTTAATGGGGTGAAATTCACTCCTGCTACAATGCCATTATATACTTAATATTTTTACATTTGATTTGAACATGGCTTTTCTACCAGCAGTGCATAGAAACTTATTTATTTCTTTAGAATGATTGCCTAGAAGAGAAACACTCCTTCCACAAAAAATGCTTCTTTAGGGTACATTTCCTCCTTTCCTTCCAGCAATACCTTCATCTTTAAGCAGTATCACTCAAAAGTTGTTATTCCTTTGCAACAGTTGCTCCTTACGTAGCCCTTAATAATTGTTTTCCTTTTAGATTGGGCTATTGTTATGTACTCAACACAAAGCTGTTGTGTTCAACTCAACCTTAGATCACCACCACAGTCATAGTCAGTATGCCTCACTTTGGTATCCTTGCTATAACAAAAGGAGTGACTAGCAGAATATCATCTGTGAGATCTGGGAACTCAGGATATCTGTTGCTACTTTGAAAGAACCTAGAATTGTATTTTAGCCACAATCCAAGAGGCATCTGCTTGACAGGACCTTTGGAAGCAGATAGAGATATGCTGTAGTTAAGAGTATAAAGGAACTCTATGGCAGGCTTTAGTCCAAAGTTGGATCATGACTGATTATTTTCCATGGACTTCAAAGATGCCAAATGTGATACAATTCACATTCCTACTAAATATTTTTTTTTCTTACCATTGACTCAGTTTCTCAAGAAGTTTGGGTGATGTGACAGATGTCAGTTGTGAGGGCAGCATTCTGCACAGAGCTAGCTTGTTGTGTTGGAATCCCACTATTGCTTCCTGCTGAGTAAACTCAGTAGAAGTTAAAAGATAAAAGACTTCAGCAGGCCTTACGACAATTCATTTCACAATCCTGAACAGTAAAAGGGTGATTTCCTGTTGAAATGTAAATCAAAAAATGAAAAGCTTTATTGCTATTTTTATATATATTAGCTATATTCTAGTTACTGGACTCTGGATCCATCTGAATAGAGAATGCATTGTTACTGTTGCACTTGCTCGTTGTTCCCTATTCCTATGCACTATTCGGATGCCTTTATTCTGCCACTGAAGACGCAATGAATGCAGATTTTAGGGTTATTCATAATAATGATCATCATCTTGAAGATTCCAAACTTTGTCCTTTGCCCATTGCTGAGGAGCAGAATTATATTAATGGAACATAACTGTCATTTAACCTCTACAAGGCCACACATTGGTTTAGGCAGGCAGAGAATTATGCCCTATAAAGCTGAAATTAATGGGGAAGGCCTTTAGGCAAACACAGTATGGTAATGCATTTGTTTCCTCATGAAAAAAATAATGTCTCATGAGAAATTCACTGAAAGATGGTAGTGGCATAGTATCCTACACTAGTGCTCTGCAGTTACTGTCTCACCTTCTAATCAAATAGTAGGTGCTAACATCTGAACCAAAACCTCAACATGGATTTTCTCCTATGGCTTCATATTTATATATGAATTTGCATTAATTTGCATGAAATAAACATGTAACATTAAGCTGCACTTAGACTACTTCTGCTTTTGGACCACTCTACTGACTAACACCTTCAGATTAGCAAAGTCAACCTTAAATGACTCACTTGACATAAAAACATTCTTGTTTTTGTTTGGAAGAAAACTGTTCAACAGTTGTGTGCACAGTTTAGCCTTCTGTTTCTCATGCTTCCCTCATCTTAATTCTAACAATTCTCCTTAATGTCTTGGGAAGATGACAATTGAATACCTCCCAATGATCAGACTTTTCCCCCCAGGTTTATATGGTCTCTGGCTTTGATTTTTTATTTTTTTTTTACCTTGAAGAAGTGTATCAAAACATGTAGCTGTATCTAAAAACATACAGGAGGCATGTTCAAACAGTAATAAGTCTCACACTTCATATGCACTACAAAGAAAACCACAGGATAATAGACATATCCAATTTTAAATACAAAATAGGTATGTTTATATACATATAAAATGACGTGGGAATCAGATATGAGACTTTCATAACATAAGGGTGATAGACACAAACCTTGAAGAGGCCATGGATATTCTCTTTCCTGTTTTAAACAAGTGTTTTTGTTTATAGCCCACCCAGAATTAGGTCACCTTTGAAAGTGTTCTTAGGCAGTGCATGCACAATACACCCAAGCCAAGAGGACAAATGTACTTCTGCTGCTGTAGCACTGCTGAATAGCTTGTCTCAAGGAGGAAGGAGGCAAAAAGGAGAATTTAAACTTCTTAGAAAAAAAATGAATCTTTTATCTTGAGTTGTAGTTCTGGAAAGAATTTATAGTCCATAGGAACAATCAGTAGTAGCAGTGTTTGTTAATAGAAACACTGCATCACATATGGTAAATGGCAAATGTCCATTTGTTTGCTCAGTTTAACTTTCATCGTCAGGGCATTAACCCTCACAGCTGAGTAACATGGCATCCTCTGCTTGAATGTGTTCTACTAATGTAGGTCAGGGTAGTCAAGCTATGATCCAGAAGGTGAACACAATTCACAACTTAATCCAGTTCTTGTGGGACCTACAGCCAATCACTTTTTCATAGCGCAAATTGTTACTAGTTAATACAGAAGTATGTACTAATATTTGGCCTGCCAAAAACATTTCGAAGATCTATTCAGCCTTAGAGTAAGGCATAGGTTTCCTGACCTGCTATAGATTACTTTGAACAGTTTTGTCAGCTGAAACCAATAAATCCCATTTGCTTATCTGAGCTTCCACAGAAGAAAGTACAGTCCTATGGGTTTGTCAGACCAGGGCATGTACATCCCATCTAATTTCCTTCAAAGTCATCTGCTTTACTTTCAACAGCCAACAAAAGTGTTTTAAGACATTTGAGATGATTTTTCCTGTACAGTGCTGGGGAGCGTTCACATGATCTTTTCTGCTGTTCAGAAGTACTCCAGATGACAGGACACAAACTGGTTATAGGTGGTAGCATATTTAAAAGTGTCAGCAGCGTTGCAAAGAGAATACTGGGCTACAGTTTACTATGATCTTAGCAGTTCCTTAAACTGATACACTGCTCTGTGACTTTTCATCTTAGTGTACATGGTAAGATTACTGCGTACTTGACTGAGGGCATTTGCATTTTGTATGTATTGTTTCATTGCATAATATTAGCAAGAGAAACTTTAAGATAGGTATTCATACCTAAATCTGAAACTTTAATGGTTTGAACAGGCTCACATAACCTGTTCAATGTTATGAACAACATCTGCAAGCTTGAATTGAATTCTGAACTTAAACTCTGATCAGGAAGTTTTAGTTTGACATTTACCTTTTCAAGCAAAACTTTTCTAAGCAATTTTTGAAATTACCACCAGCAAAAGTGGGAAGTCCTTCTTGTTTCCCCATTCTTTTCTTTCCCAGCTTCACATATCCCATTTCTGTATACCTGCTGTGGTCAGACTCAAGCTCAGCCAGTGCAACTTGTTAAATCACCAGTAAAACACCTTTTGGTCACCAACTTAACTTTGTTCTACAGTGATGCAACATCCCTTTCATTACCTGTTTAAAAAAAAAAAAAAAAAAAAGGATGATTTTGTCTTTGTAACCACGAGTATAAAGCTGTTTTATTAAGACTTCGACTCCCAAACTATCTTTTAGTTAAATTAAGTTGCAGTTTCACATCCTTTTTCTTTTTTTGGGGGGGCAGGCTGGGTTTAGAAATGCTGCTGCTTTTGCAAGTACTGCTGCCCAGAAGAACGATCATGGAATTGTGCCCTTATAGGGTCCTTCAAACAAATATGTTAGTATGAGAGGTGCCATAAAGAACAGACTTCCTTAAGATTTCCTAACTAGAATATTATGGCACACATCCTAATCAGTGCCTCCTACAGACTATGCCTCCATACTGGTCTAACGACGTAAAAGTTACTTTATAGATGCATGTAGGGAAGGAGGCAAAGCAATAAAATGAGATTAAGCAGTAAGAAGCCAACTCTCCATTAATGAGTCATGCACTCATAGCTGCTTAGCAGTATTATTTTAAATATCCATAGCAACCAATTAGCCTCTGTGTAGTCTTTACATTACTTTTTGAATCTTACATTTTCAAATCTTTTTAGAGTGAGAACACACACATGTAACAGCTGGAGAAGTAGAACAGAACAGCACTGTCCTTAAACTTTCTATAAAAATCAAAATATGAGAAAGAAAATGATCTTGGACAAGACTGTCAGTGTTTGTTTCCCAGAATATCACAAAAGCTTGATGGTATGGAGACAGATCTTTTCAACACATCAGATGCACAAGCACATGCATTCTGCTTGTCCTCCTTAGGTACTTCCAAACAGATTTATTTATAGCAGTGTGCATAGACAAACCCTTTAAACAGTTGCTGTAAGCATAATTTTAGTCTGCTATAAAGAAATTCAGGTTTTTGAGAAGGGGCTCCAATCTGACGACTGCTATAGTCATTTTAGGAACATCCTGTCCCTATTTGCTAGCAAGCTTTGCTCATGAATAAATACTGTGCAGCCAGGATTTTTCTTCCCCATCCCACCTTTTAATAACAAAAGCAGCCTCAGGCCATTAAGCCTTCCCCATCACCCGTTAATCTCCAGGAAACAGCTTCTTTCTCAATTGTTGCTTAACTGATGCAACATTTAACACCCCAGATGAATCAGCACTGTGCTACTAGTAAGCTTCTGACTTCACCGTTCTTTCGACTCCACAGTACTAAATTTGCTGATGTGTATTTCGGGATATTCAGATTACCACCGTTTTGGGAGGCCATTTTAGAGCCCACATTTGCCTCTGATACTTTCTTTGTTCTTCCATTGTATCTGTCTCTAGATTCTGGTACATGCAACTTACTCCTATTGTCTGATCCATTCTGGTTAACAGAACTCATGTCTACATTGTTTTAGATGTTTTTCTGATGTATATATATAATTTAAGTTCAGGGATTCAGGCTTTTTTTTTTTTCTTTTTTCTTTTTTTTCCCTCAATTTAATTAAGCAGAGTAGCCTATGAGTAATAGAAATAGCATTAGTCAGCAAGATCTTGTCTTCAGCTTTTAAAGCTCATAGCTAGCAAATAAAATAACCCAGAAATCAGAAACGGAAATCTCCACTTTTTTTTTTTTTTTCTTCTTCTATTCCTGTAACTCCTTACTGTCCCAATGGGAAGAATGCATTGTCTTTCAGGCAACTTCTCTAGTAATATTTTTTTCCTCAGTTGTACCCATGATCTCATCCGTCTTCCTTAAGGGCTGAGGCTGTGGGCTGCGTTTATTTAGCAGCCTCTAGCGGTTCGCCACAGCAGTTACCAAAGGCTGTATCTTCGTGTGCTGTAGCTGCAGCACATACCTGCTCATACCTTGCACAGAGCTTTCCAGGATGCTCTTTCCAGGATGATGTAGTTACATGCTGGTCTATGAACACGGATGAAAAATACAGTAGAAAGATAAGACAATATTATTCAGCTCTGTGCCACACAAGTTGATTTGACCCTGAAATATTTACATTGGGGTAGTGACTTAAAGGAACTGCATACAATCAAAGCGAAGAAAGAGAAGCAATAACCACAGGATGCCTGATTTGTCCCAAGTGCACTATGTTCGGGGATGTTTCTTACAGTGATTTATCTTGTACTTTATGTAGCTGTTCTTAAAAGATGCTACAAATTTCACATGCTAAATAGGTGTAAGATTTCCAAGATACCTCACATTTTAATGACAGTCTTCTAGGAGAAGATTGTCACAACACTATGACATTCACAACTGCAAAAAAAATGTCTACAATTTGTGAACTTTCAACAACACTCTAGTAAACACAGCGATTGGTGGTTCATAACATATTTGACATACAGAGGCAATATAAGAATTTTGCTGGCCTCACTGTGAGAGCTAACTTGGGGTCTGAAGGAGCTGATGCACTTAACAATGTCTGCCTTTTTACCTTTGTCATCACATAGCTTAAGAGAGCAAGAGACCACAGAAATGCTCTGAAAGAGACATCTTGCCTGGAATATTGAAAAGACTTGAAAGACTTTCTTTAGCCTTCTCCAATTCAACAGAGAATTTCTTCTGGCAATGAAAAATCATTATTAGAAATCAATAATTGAAATAACACTTCGTGCTTCGAAATAACAAATTTGGTGCATGAAAAGAATTACTTAATAAAGTGAACTGGACCTTCATCAATGACTGGAGTGGAGGGAAAGCTTCAAATGTGTTTATAGTCAAGGTGCCAAATATATCTATGTTACTTTAACTACAAAGAAAGGCTTCAACTGTAGCTAGATAAATAATCACTTCAGAAAGACAGGGATTTCAATTAGTGCCTTATATAAAAGTCACACACTTTATAAAACACAGTTAATCATTTACAAAATACATTCAACACGTAAAATACATTAATATATATGAATCATGTAAAAATATAATTATAAATTTAATTATAAGGACCTTTTAATTGTTGCCATTGTTTATAATCACAAAATTAATTATAATGACCTTTTAGTTGTTGCCATTGTTTATGTTTCCTTATGTGAACCTGGTAATCTTTTTGTTATATTAAGTTGGTAATCTAATATAAGGACTTCATGTTTACAAAGAAATTTTGGGTTCTGAAACTCACAAAACCACGACACTTGATTATTGTGTGACAGATAGACATTAATATGACTCAATTTTTCACACTAAGTTTTTCCACTGAAGAGCAAAAAAACAAGGGTCATGGACAGCAGGGCTTCGGGTTCAAGGACAGCCTTTACATTTTGTTCTGCACTGCTTGAGGATGTGTTGATCCCCACATATCGCTAAAAGAATAAGGATCTTGTCCTTCAGTGGACAAATTCAACTGATTTGTTTATTTACTAGTTACTTTGCAATATACAAAATGTCATTATTTGCTTACAAAAAAAAAAAAAAAACAAAAAACAGTTATGAAAGTAGAGAGCTTGTGGGGCAGTATCTGTAATGCTGCAGTTTGGAATCCAACACTCTGAAGATAAATATCACAGATTTTGATGTCAACACTGCAGACTGTAAATGGAAAAATATTCCAAAAAACAACATCAAACAAAACACCCAGCAACTGCAGCATGAACAACTGCAGCATCCCCAAAGAGCAGCAAGTGGGACAGCAGGGGTGTGAACCACTGCAGTTATTCAAAGTGAAGTGTCCCTGCTTGTGAATCCGAGTTCAGACATCCTATTCAAGGATGTCCAAGGACAGACAGTAGCAGGTACACAAGCCTAGAGATGTCAGGAGCCAGCCTAAGCTTGGACCAACTCATTAATCCACCTCCTGAGGCAAAACTAAAAACAGAACTAAGTTATTTTCTTTTCATTTTATGCCCAAATGCACTAGTTCACATGTAAAAACTAGTGATTGTGACAGTGAAAAGGGTGCCTACTTAAGGCATTTAAGGTACCTACTTAATAATTTCTCTGGTGACCTGAAACTTTAAACTCTCAAAGTTCTAAACATTCTGCTCAGTCTGTTTAGGATCCTTAATTTTTTTTTTTTTTCAGTTGATTCTTTCAATTTTCATCAGAAACAGATACAAAGGGAAGAGCCAGCTTCACTGTCAGCCTGGCTAAAAAAGACTATTGAAGCAAGCTCTTCCCAGCAGCAATTACTCAGCGCAACAGACATGTTTTTACCTACTACTGAAGATCTACCAACCCTGCCCCAAGGGGAGAATAGCTACCCCACCTGTCAGCATGCAAGTATGTTTGGTATGTTTGGTCACATTCAATGGAAAACCTGTGAACCCACTTACAAGAAGATGAAGGTTTCTCATTACATTGAGAGGCATGTGTTTTCAAGAGATCAAAACAGTTGGCTAAAGAGATGCTTTAATACTGGGAAACAAAATGTGCAAGGTTTTACACTTCTATAAAAGATACTAGGAACACCCAAGAAAACTTCTGTGAGCTCTGGTGTAATCTCAGTGCAGCCTCAGGCTGTTAACTCTCCCTCATCCAAAACGCAAAATTGTTTTTGGGTGACACAAGCTTCATTATTTTTATATCACTTCATAATGCTCTGAGATAATTTCTCATAAATCCAGAATCATTAAACCATTTGAAGGTATTATTTGTGGTACATTAAAGAATATTTCTTTTGTCATTATTGCTGTGTGCTTCAAATTTCCTGATATCCCAGGCTGGTAAGGCTGGGACACTCTAGCAAGGCAGGAAGTGCTAAAAAAGTCTGCTGTACCAGGTCTGTGAAACCAAAGTCTTAAATATCTGGACTCATATAAAATTGTGCAAATGTAACCATGGAAGAAAACTGTTTCATTGCTTTTTCAACAAAGCTGTGTTACCAAGGTGTTGTATCTTTCTAGTTTTCTAGTTCAGGCAATGCAAGAGTTTATGCACCAGAGCTGTGTGTCCTGGCATACCAAACAAATAAGCTTGTGTCCTTTTATTTATTTATTTATTTATTTATTTATTTATTTTTTATTTTTTTTTAAATAAGTATTTTTGGGATTTATCCCCAGTAAAAGAGTATATCTGTTTCCATTCTTCTCCCTTTTTTCCCCAGTAAAGATGACTGGGTACAGCAGTGGGGTAAGACAATTCACACTGTGCCTGCATCCATTATAGTGTTTTTCGTACTTTAACATAGTAATCCTGCCTCCCAGATACTGCAAAGGTTTGTGAGTGTGTATTGATAACCATCACTATCAAAAGAATACAATGTAACTGAGTTTTATAATACATATTTTCCATCCTATCCTGGACACCTAAATAATACAGTTATTTTAAAAGATATAAAATTACAGCCTTGTAGGCTGAAACTGTCTACAGAGGAAATGAAACAATCTATAATAGTCTAGGCTAGATTTAACTTCCACATCACTGAAGCTCTATTTCTCTGCTGGTGCTGAAAATCAGGGGGATGGTTCAAACAGAGATATGTTTTTCAATGAGAGCACTTAGGGATAAGCAAAATCAATGAAAAATCAGAGAGACACAAAACAGATTGTAATCTACTTCCTATTTTAAGATGGACTGACAAATTTCCAATTACATCAACTTTTGCACTAGCAATGATTTGTTCTTAGGCCTCCTGCCTTTTAAACCAGTGACATGTTATTTGTGATGACACTTAAGCATTACTTAAATTTGTGAATGACCTAGCTATAATTCTGGTGGTCACAGAAAAGAAATAATCTGCAGAACTATACCTGAAAATGTGTACTGTCTATTTGCAATTACACCAAGAAAACAAACAGCATGTATCTGTAGGAAAATCAGGCAAGTAGTGTCCCATTCTGCTTCTTTTAGTATAATTACCAGACTGATGATCTTGATGTCAATTCTCCAGTTACATTTACGACTGACCACTCTAGAGGTTCTCTAGTGGCTTCCATAGAAACAATAACGCACATCTGTATTCTGAAAAAGAAAAAAAAAAAAAAAGTGAAAATGAAAACTTACTTTTCAAGTGCTTGAAGGAAGGGACTGTCTTGACATTTTGTGTTTTCTGTAGCTAAGTCTGTTTAAAGAGTTCCCTGCCCCTCTTCTGGGGTTTGGTACAATGGTTTGTATACTTATGGGGCTGCACGATGAAATGAATCAAGGAACTGATCTGAGAGAAAATGAATAACCCTGAGAGACAGGGTTATTTTTAACACTGATCCCTTCCTCAAACATAGTCCCACAGACAGTAGTACTCTCAACACCAAGGAGCATTCATGAGGATACAGGTGCAAAGTGAGCAAGTGCTGTAAAAGTGCCTTTGCCACTGAGAGAAAAAAAGTGCCTCCGTGCTCCAAATTCCTGATTTCCAAAACATTTCTATGGACTGACTGTGCACAATCAGCTCTTGCTTTGGAAATAAACAGAGTGCTACTAAAACTAATTAGAACTTGTGCAAAATAGTATATACATTAGTCATACAGGTTATGTTTTACATTGTGTCTTACCAAAATGATGTTAAAATCAGCCTTTTCTTTTTTTTTGTCCCCAACTCATCATTGTATTTATAGGCCTCAATCAGGTTTATCCTTCACAATGGTTTTCATCTGTTATCCCAATATTTCCAGCCAGATGCCACTTTTTGCTCCTTGTTTATTTACATCAAAACTGTCTTTGACATTATCCCTTAAACGTAGAAAACCCTGCCCAAATTAATTAGCATTCAGCTTAAAACTCACCTTGAAGACACGTTTTTACTTTGATGTTTACAGTAAACTGCCAATTAACAGTGGATAGGAAGATTGCAGACAGGGAATTTTGATACTGTAAACATTGTTTACTTCCAGCTTCAGGAAGTCTACTAGGTACGCAAATAACTAATCTTGTTGTTCTGTCTTCTTTCATATTTTTTCCATTAAGTCGCTTTGCTACAGCTATTAAAATATAATAAATGAAACCTCTGTGTACTGTATTAATAGCATCAGAAAGCTGACTATTGCTATATGTCTTCTGTTTGATACTGTGGTTGTATTGAGTGATATCAGTGTGTCAAGAGCAACGTTGCTTAATTTACATTTTTATGCATGGTAGCATTGTTTTTTTTTTTCAAGATCCATACTGATTTTTAATTAAATTTATTTAAATTTAGAAGCAAAATGTTTCTTTCTTTAAAGCTGTTACTGAGATATAATAAATTTTACTTTTATCTTGCCTTACTTTGGAGAAGGAGTTGAGGGACCAAAGCCAGCTCTCTTACTTCAATCCTTGCCCCATATCCCAAGGGAAAAATTCAGTTATCTGTAAAACAGGAAAAGGAATGCAATAGACTAAACTGGATCAGATCAACTTAGCTTCACCACAATAAACTAATCTAGTTCTCTATTACACTATTCAAGAATTAAAAAATAGATAAATCAATTACCAGTCCCTGAATCCCTGAAAGCAGAAATTCAGTTTATTCCTAACTTCTGACATATTTTGTGTGTGTACACATATACACGTGCACTGGAAAAGTGCTGCTCCTTATCTTGTAAATGCATGCTGTTTTTACTATAGATTCAGAGGAATCTATAGATCTGCAGAGTGTAGCATGTTCATGCATTAAAACTCTTCTAAACGTCAACAGATCAAAACAATTTATTTAATACTATCTTGGCAATGATTAACAATGGAAGCATTACCTATGTACACAGGCCTAGAAAACACTGGTACAAAAAAAAAGCTAACACTTTATGCTTTGTTATGTGAATACATAGCTCATTATGAGGTCCTCTGGAATTCTGGTCTTACTATGTCAGGGATATAAAGGGTATACATTTAAAAAGTCAATAGATATGAAAGCTTCCATAAAACAACAACAACAAAAGAACTTTTCCAAAAGCAGTTTTGTTATTGTCTACTCAGCAATATGGAGAGAGATTAAAACTTCATTATTACAGCAGTAGCTCACACAGTGTTAAAGGGTGATTCACAGTCAGTCACAAAGCCAATTCATTTTGTAGTTAGAAAGTCTTTTCCATCTGTGCATGATGTCATGCATTTATGAGGACAAGAGGCAAGAAAATAGACATACAAAATACTGAGCAGAATTAATCAGCTCTGTGTCATAGTGTAGCCTCTGTTTTCAAATACTGTGTGAATCTGCTTTCATTTACACATTCAAGTTCTGACAGAAGGAAAATTTATGGTATAGCTTTATAAGAGACAGGCTTAACAGTACTTATATTATTGCGCCACTGACTCAACAGTTCAAACTGATCCTTTTTATCCCTCTTCCAATATTTTATATTGTGAGCATCCTTCTTTTAGCACCAACATGATGAAGGTAGTGTAAAACAGTTGGTAGAATGGACTTGAATGACTCAAAGATGCAGCTACAGAAACAAAGGAGAGAGGAAATGAGAATGGATGCAGGAGAATCAAGGTAAAAAAAAAAATGTTATAACTGACAGGAGAGAGATATAAAAAGAACATGTGGATACAAATAACAAGTATAATGAGAGTACCAGCAGAGTAGCATGATGTATGTAAGAAAGATAATCTAAAAGGAAAAACAGCTGTTATAGAATCAGAAAGTCTTGACCCTATTTCCAAGTTCCTATTATGGTTCTAAGAAATCCTAAAGAGGATATGTGATCCACTAGGTTCTCTGTCAGTAAAATCAAAAAGAGTACTTATCTGATAGGAAACACATGAATATAAAAATCTATAAGTAACTTTCAGACCTATTAAGTTTCATGCAATGAAAATGAAATTTACACAATTGCTACCAAACGCATTTTCTCCTAAAGCCAGGCCACCATATATTTGCTGTGCTGTGCTCCTGCTTCTCTTCCCTTCTAGCACTGGAAGAGAGATGCTTCTCAGCACAGTCCTACCCTGAAATCCTCCAGACTACAGTTCCATCACTTTCCCACAACATCTGAACTGGAACACCTGTGCTACCTGACCTATGGCTTCAGGACATGCCGCTGTTTGTTGGAGAGGGTCTCCTGTTTATGGAAAAGAGCTGAGAAGTCTGATCTGTAAGATGCTACAGAGCTGGAGAAATTAAAATCCTTAGGTTGATGGAAGTAGCTTTTGAATCAGATATTTGACTAGACTGGTAACATCAGGAAAAAGTAAAATCCCTGACTCATCCTTTTTGACAGAGGTTAAACAAATACGAGAACAAGTTTGGCGTATTAGGAAGTATTATCTCTTACTTTTCCTAAGGCTTTTTTCCTATTTGCTAGTGATGTCTTGCTCTGTTACAACTTACTGCATTTTTATGGAAAAGTAAGACTGAAAGAGAAAAAAAAATCATTGAAAGAATAATACAAATTAAACATTATACAGAACATAAGCAAATGTAGAGACAACTATGCTATGAAATAGTAAACAATATTAACAGCAGAAAATTCAAATGGATGTAGCCAGAGCAACTGCAGAAGAATTCAAACACTAAGCAATTACATAGCCAGAAGTGGAGTAATAATGAGAACAAAAGATACAAATGATGGAGTAGGAAGAACTATAAACAAACTCACATCGTGAAAGAAAACATTAAAATGAGTACACAGTGAATGAGTTCAATATGAAAAAAGAAGAGAAGAGAAGAGAAGAGAAGAGAAGAGAAGAGAAGAGAAGAGAAGAGAAGAGAAGAGAAGAGAAGAGAAGAGAAGAGAAGAGAAGAGAAGAGAAGAGAAGAGAAGAGAAGAGAAGAGAAGAGAAGAGAAGAGAAGAGAAGAGAAGAGAAGAGAAGAGAAGAGAAGAGAAGAGAAGAGAAGAGAAGAGAAGAGAAGAGAAGAGAAGAGAAGAGAAGAGAAGAGAAGAGAAGAGAAGAGAAGAGCCCCATATCTGGAAATGTAGACAAGGAGTATTGAGAGGAGAAAATATCACCAGAAAGATGAAAGAGATGTCAAGTAGAAAAGATTAACAATGGAAAAAAAAAAAAAAGTCATTGGGGTCCAAAGAGTATTTTCCAGCTTGCTTTGGAGGTTGAATTTGGAACAGGGAAGATGAAGGTGGGGTATTTATATCACATAAAATTGAACCTCTCATTTAAGAAGATAATTTGGAATGCTTATTCCCCCCACCCCCCCCCCTTTTTTTTTTAATAAATAGTTGATAGTGGAATACAATCCTTCTCTAAGCTGTTTCAGAAGGTACTTACTTCTTTCTACAAGGTAAACAGGGAGTCCAGAGGTTGACAAGTGGCTGAGCCACACTGACAGCTCTCAGAGGGAGGGCATTCAGTTCCTTTACCTCTTTCCAGCTTCTTTTACTTTTCTCCCACATTTTTCTGCATTGCATCTGGAGCTTATCTGGTTGTTCTCAAGGTCAGGCAACTAAACTCAGTAACATTGTAAAAACATACACTTTTGGGTAAAACAGTTTCTGCTGTTTTATTCTGCTGTTCTGCAGTCAAATGAGTTCCAGGGTGGCACATGGTAAGTAGTGGGATCACACACAAGAGCAGACAGAGTTATGGAAGGACAGGGAGGGAACAGAGAAGGCCTTTTTGTCAGTATTAAACTTTTAATTTAACCCAAAGCATCTCCTGAAGCCACAGTTTCATGACATAACCACCTCAGTTAAATACCCTAAGTTAGATGATGAGAACGGTGCCACTGCCAGCACTTAGGTACAGAGAAAAGGGACTATGAGGAGTCTTGCATGCTTTTCAAACAGGTAGCTTCAGATTCTCATGTCTTTTGTACCTATGTTAAGCAATTCATCCTGCAAAAGTTTGAGGAAAGTAACATTTGTAATGTCTCCAATTTCCAGCCTCTACTTTCCTATATGGCTCCATAGCACTGATGTTTTATGATAGTACCCAAAGTACTGCATGCTTTGAAGAGGAAGGCAGCAATAGATTTGCGTACTTGTGGTTTTTATTGCAAATCTCATTATGCCTGTTGGGTTTCATTTTTAGCCTTATAGACTTACGTTATGCAAATCAATCAGAATCTCAGTTTTCAAATTTTTGTTTCTCAGTGATGTTCACCTTTTTTTTTTTTTTTATTACTTACAGAAATTTTCATTATGTATAAAATAATTCCCTGCTTTTTTGATAGTTCTCTATATACTTGGTATATACAAGTCAGGAAGGCTTTGTATAGTATTCAGACTAAATTTAGCCTAATTTAATTCTTAATTATTTCTTTCTACTATCCTGGCTGCTTGCACCTACTAAATTAAGTTTGAGCAAAAGGTGAAACAAGGCTTCTACTGCCTGTAGGTAGATGTACAAACAAGCCACTACAGGGTGAGCTAGGGTGTGAACACACAGCACATCACATGTTCTACAGAAACTGTCTGCAACCTGTTCTTTCTTTAGTTTATTACGTGCTATTACTACACAAAAGCTGACTTTATGACAGTTTGTTAGCCAATACAAACTTTACAACTTTTAAGTATCTTTAGATAATAAATGGATTTTTTTAACTTCACTTTGTAAATATATGAATATTTCATTTATTTTAATATTTTGTTAAAATTGCCAAATCCTCATCTCAAAAATTGAATCTTTTCTAGGAAAAGGAGTTATCTTCTACATTGCTTTTGACTGTCAACATATTCCTACTGGTATGGTAGTCAAAACCAGTCCTTGACAAAAGATCTCATTTCAAACACACATACACATAGCAATAGACTGCAGGTGATGGAACTAGCAGATATCAGAAAAAACCATCAGGCAAAGTAGATACATCCTAGGAATATTCTTCCAAAACAACAAAAACAAAAGAAAACAAAACTTGGAACTAGTTTTCTGTAAAAAAACATTTTTACGTTCTGGTTCCTCTGAAAACCTAAGCATTGAACACATACTTAGTTTTAAGCTTTGGAATGCTCATATGAAAGCCAATAAGAGTAAATAGTGCATGCAACATTATGCAGGAACAAACTCGTTGTACAATTAGGGATTTTCCTTGCTTTTGTAACATATATATAGTTGGTAGTCTCCATGTGTATTTTATACACTTACAGCTTTTCTAAGAAGAATTTATTTATCCAGTGAAAAAACATGGCTCTGCATATGCACCCTCTGTATATAGAGCCGTGTATGTGTACACATACAGATGCGTACATACAAACACAAACTTTATTGATTGTTACTGTTATTGATTGCTACTTACTGGTTCTTTGTGCTACTTATTGCATTCCTTGTGAGCAAAGGGTAAAATGACAATTCATTAGCTCATTAAAACTGCTAAATATTTATCATCTTCCCTGTATTCTAGTGAATATGCAAATAATGCAGGTTATAAAAGAAATAAGAGCCAGAGGCCATGAGATAGGTGTGTTACATAAAACTCAAAGCTGAGGGCTGTGTGTCATCTGCAGTATCCACCCAGTTCAATATACTGAGCAACAGGGTGAAAAATGGAGAGCTGTGAAGGCATGAATAATATGTCAGCTAAATTAGCTTCCCACCAATTTTTTTTTTTTCTAAATGGAGTGATTCATACTAGGAAAATCAACTTGGAGACAATGCTTACAATCCTGAAGAAAGCTGTCTGTGATAAATACCTGAGACTAAGGTAATACCTAAGATAAATACCTTGTAATCTAAGCTGAGAAGGAAATCCATTATAGACAGATGTATAAAGAGATGCAGCCTTCTTGTTCTCTGGCTTTTCTGAAGTGTAAATTGCCCCAAATTAAATTAATCTACAAAAAAATCTGACCTGTACTACAGAGATTACTAGGTCTAAACAGAAAATACGTACCTAACTTGAAATAGAATTTCAGAGGTTTGATATTAAAACAGCACATCACCTTACAGCACAACAGAAAAGATGATTTCAGAACATAACAGTCAGGGATGATAGAAAAAAGGTCATTGATATATTCTTAATTTTAAAAAACAAAGCTTGTATTATTACTGAATATCATTAGGCTTTAAAGTGCTTTTCTAATTTGTTACATGTCTGAGTCTACAGTACTTGGAAAAAAGAACAAAAACAATCCCTTTTGTTCCACAGGCTTCTAAGACATCTTCATTTAGCCTCTGGGTTCATTTCTAAAAGGAGGGATTGTTCATGATGGACATAAACATCTATTTATGTATAATCTTCTCTGTAAGTGCAAGAAGTAATAACCTAGGATTCCACCCTATGCTCTGAGACATAATGAAATCAAATGTCTAAAGAGTAGCTGTTCATTCTGAAGAGTTCTTTTTAGTTGTTGTTTGAGATTGCTTTGTGACTATGTATTCCTTGCTATTGTTAGAACTTTATTAGAAACTTTTGCAATCAAAAGTTAAAATTTTTGCATTAATTAGTTTTAGATGTGGGAAACTTTGTCTGTAAGGGCAATTTTTTATGGACTTAATATATACTTTATATACTTAACTCTTTGTTCATCCTAACCATACCCTGAGAAAACTTTAATTTTTAATGTATCACTTTAATGTAACTTTCACCATTATTATTTTTCCCTTATTCTTGATCCAGGAAGCTGCATGCAGAACCTTATTACGTTTAATTTCATGTTAGCTTAAACAGTCTACCTTCTTGACATACCAACTCCATAAAAAAAACAGCAGTCTTATTAACAGTAAAAGTTTTGAAATATTTTGCCTACCTGTGCTGTTGATACTTTTCCTTGACCTATACTTAACACGTAGTAATATATTATTACACTTTTCTAACTCTTACCCTGCTACTTCTGTAACCTGAGGTACCTCCACTTACCTTCTATTTTCATATCTTTAAACTGGGAGTAATAATAGCGCAGACTAGTATCACAAATAGCACAGCTTCTGTCAGCTGTATGGACGACTTCTGCCTGCACTCAGGTCATCAAGGCAGCATCTCTTCTTACTTTTGGCTTGCTTTTGAGGCATGATGAAATTTCTGCAGAAACATCCTACATTAAATACGAAACAGAACTCTTTGTCCAGAGTCATCAGGAAATCATCTTTTAAAACTGGTCATAAAATTACAGCATCTTAAAACTCCTGCCACACCAGTTGTTCCTATGACCACCTGCAGCCCTGTTTCCATAGGCCAGTTATAAATTGAGAGGTATTTCTTTACTTTCACCGCCTTTTTTAGTATGACATCCCCCTATTTTCTTTTTGATAGAATGGATTGTCCTGAGTTCTAATTCTTACAGCTGTAAAGATGGAATTTTTCCATTTCCTGAGCCTCTTTTTATACAAGTTAAAATCCTTCTTCCTTAGAGGAAAAAATATTATGGTTGTAATGGATTATTTGGTATCACGTAAGCATTAATTACACATCCTGAGTTAGTGTTTAAACCACGTATTTTAGAGAGAGATAATTAACTGTTTGAAGCAGTTAAGGTACTATAGAAATGAGATAAATCTTTAGGTTTTCCTGTCATTAAATTCTTTATTAATTACTATTCCTTTAACAGATCTCTTTGAAGAACTGAGTAAATTATAATGTTAATCAAAATATGGGAAGTTGCTACTTAAGGGGCTAATCTTTTATCTTCTGATTCAGACAAATCAAATTGGTGTGTCACCCCCCCCCTCCTTTTTTTTTATGGCCCACTTTACAAAAAAATGCTAACTCAGGCATGTTTCAACACCACAGTTGGAGCCTATAGCCAGGGATCAGAGACACCACTGTACTTATCCTCAACCAACAATGATGGTGAGTGTGTGGAAAAGGGGAGAAGTTAAAAGAAAAAGTAGTGGTTTGGGCTAAAGCAGCAAAGGTGAAAAGCAAGCCTATTTTTACACTTAGCCTACAAGTATGGAAATTCACTTACCCAACTTAAACCATTGCATAAAATAGCAATTGAGGATAAACAAGTATTAATCAATGAATAATTTGAATTATTCTGTGTTTGTTCTTTGGTGTTTTAACTATTGCTGAGAATCAATTGGGTTTGCACTTACAGCCCTTAATGACCTTAATTAGCCCAACCTGAGAGCTCAAGCCCACAGGCCCAAGAGTCCATATAAACTCAGTCTTGGGCATTAATTTGTAGAGCTTGAGCTCTGTTGTTGGGTTGCTTGTTTCCAGGTTTGTTTGTGGTTGGCCATGTAACTTGTTGATCAGGGATCTGACCTGGGGCCTGACTACCTGGTTTTACCTTGGCCCTGACTAATTGCTACAATCCTGCTGTGTGATTGTTGGGCTGTATTTGACCCTGGTTACTCTTGGTAGACCCCACCCTGAACCTTATGTGCAAGCTGACTTTCCAGCTTGGCCCTCGAACTGACCCTGTTTATGTAACAGTGAACTACAGGAGCACTGAGTGAATCTGCAGAGATAGAAAATCTCAATTTCATGTTTTCCTTTGGCTTTCACAGTACAGGTGAACTAAGTTGCCTAATATAAAATGGTAATGGTAGCAATGCTATTTCTTTAGTGTAATGTACAATGCAAGTCTTGGGATGATCTAATAGTTAAGGAAAGACATTCCTCAGAATGCTAGAAGTTCTTTAGCAAAACCTGTTTCTTCTGATTCTGATCTTTGTAAGAGAAGGATTAGTCAATTAGTGCAATGCTATTCAATGTGACAAATGTAAGAGGATTAAGCTGAGCCTTGTTCATAGACTCTAAAAGCATTACATACAGAAACCAAGCATTACAACAAAGAAAAAAGGAATTTGGAACCAAATCTTTGTTTTCCACTTCATTCTTAGTGCTTCTCCTTTCTTCTGAAAGGTAAAAATGTTGTGGTTTTCTTATTGTGGGTATCTTCAAGAATGCAAAAACTATTCCTGCATTTATCACAATGAACTTAAGGCCTTATGAAACTTCTTGGGAGCATCTCAAAATAATATAAAACACTGAAAGTCAATACACTCACTTGGGATGAAATGTGAGCTACTCAAGTTCAAGTGTCAGCATCTAGCTCAACGTGCTTAATAATGGTTTTGTTGAAAATAAGTTGTTTTCAACATCGTTTTTTCAAAATAGCATTTTTTGAGGAAATTGTATTCTGTCAAAAACTCTCAGGCAACTTAACGTGTTCAATGCTTAAACAAATAAATGTGGGCTTGGGTTCCTAAAGGAGTAAGAGAAGAAAAAACTCAACCACTCAGAAATGAATGGGACTTGGATGCTTAATGTATTGTTGTGCTTTCTGTGAGCCTTTCTGCCTCAAAGATTTGAGTTGTAAAATATGGTTCATAACTGAAACAATGGGCAAAGTACCTAACTAGTTCTTTCAGTGACTTTATGAGTATTGAAATTAGTCCCAACTTTCAAAATGAGAGCCACATGGTGGCAGGAGAGAACAAGGGATGTAAGAAGATTACTGTGACAAATGTTTCCTTCAGTTTTAACTACGTAATACTTCTCAGTCCTACAGCACTGCTGAAGGTTCATGGCTATGTTTTAAAATCAAATGGACATAAACCTAATTCATTAGTTACGATGTTTTAAAGAAGTCCACAGCTTTTCTAATATTACTCACTGAACTCAATAGGGAATTCTACAGTGAATGTTAATATTGCAATAACAGCTTAAGTTAGGTAGTATAGTTAGGATATGAAACCTGCAAGATGTTGGTAGATAGATTGTATTGCATCCCCTTATAATATGAGGTGTCTATGACTAGAAGTGATTTTCTGATAGCTCTTTTCCTATTGCTACTCTTCTGGTGGCATACGTAGAATGCTACTGAGTGATACGACTGGCTAGAAATGGTAGTTCAAATTCATAATTCTCTGGAAGAAATATTTAGCCCTTCAATTTTTCATGTAATGTGTTACATTGTGAATATATCTGCTATTCAAATAAATAAAAATCTAGAACTTTCACTTTAATTTCTACTAAGAACAGTCCAAAATACTAATCCTCTGGTTTAAGACCATCTAGGCATGTTACTTCATGGACATCCATAATTACATTACATTAACGTTTCTAGATATCTCAATGAAGTTAACACAATTATCTAGTTAATTGCCAATGGTAACAGTGATGTATTTAGTTGTAAGCTCTCTTAGTACTTACATAACTGCAGCCCAAACTGGGATGTGACCAGTCACTTTTCCGATCAAGATGCAGTTCAGGCAGCTGACTTCTATTAAATTAAGAATATTGTAAATTTGGCAGTTCTCGAAGAGTATAATCTTACTAACTCTTACAGACTTGTGACTGTTTAATTTACACTGTAAGACCTTACAGTATCCTTTCCATTAATTCTATCACTTAAATCACTTAAACTTTGCATATTCCATAAAAATAGCTTTCCTTTAATCTGAATCTTTAATTTATTTTAACCTAAATCAATAGAGTTAAAAATATTGAATTCTTACTAAGAACCACCAGCATGACTTCTAAAATAACTGATTTAAGGCGAAAGAAGACATGAAGTAATCAAACAGGATATGGAGTCTATTATCTCTAAACCTATCAGTACAAGAATTTTTAGTACTTTTCTTAGCAATAGTGTTGTAAAGTTTCTGAGATCTCAGAGGCCATCATTGCAGCACTGGTCACACCCAAATCTTCATGCCAACAGGAGCAGCATAAGCTACTCATCCTCTCAAAAGACAGGGTTATGACTTCAAACTGTATTTTATTGGGATATTTTTCTTTAACCTATTAACAAACAGTGGAGCTCAAACATGAATTTTCTGATAATGCACAATTTTAGTGATTAATTGAACTGACAAACATTTATGAAAACCTGAAACTGCCTTACAATGCTTATTTCAATTACTTCTCTATTCTTGCTGTGCACTCTTGAACTTCTCCTGCACCTGGGAACTTCCTGCACCTGGGACGGGGAAACCCTGGCTGCACGTACAGACTGGGCGATGAGACGCTGGAGAGCAGCCTAGAAGAGAGGGATCTGGGGGTCGTGGTAGACAACAAGTTGAATATGAGCCAGCAGTGTGCCCTGGCAGCCAGGAGGGCCAACCGTGTCCTGGGGTGCATCAAGCACGGCATCGCTAGTAGGTCGAGGGAGGTGATTGTCCCGCTCTACTCTGCGCTGGTGCGGCCTCACCTCGAGTACTGTGTGCAGTTCTGGGCACCACAGTATAAAAAGGACATGAAACTGTTGGAGAGTGTCCAGAGGAGGGCTACGAAGATGGTGAAAGGCCTGGAGGGGAAGACGTACGAGGAACGGCTGAGGGCACTGGGCCTGTTCAGCCTGGAGAAGAGGAGGCTGAGGGGAGACCTCATCGCAGTCTACAACTTCCTCGTAAGGGGGTGTCGAGAGGCAGGAGACCTTTTCTCCATTAACACCAGGCAACAGGACCCGCGGGAACTGGAGTTAAGCTGAGGCAGGGGAAGTTTAGGCTGGACATCAGGAAGGGGTTCTTCACAGAGAGAGTGGTTGCACACTGGAACAGGCTCCCCAGGGAAGTGGTCACTGCACCGAGCCTGACTGAATTTAAGAAGAGATTGGACTGTGCACTTAGTCACATGGTCTGAACTTGGGTAGACCTGTGCGGTGTCAAGAGTTGGACTTGATGATCCTTAAGGGTCCCTTCCAACTCAGGATATTCTATGATTCTATGATTCTATGATTCTCAATTTCATTCTACGATCATATGCTTCTTTATAATCCAAATTGACTTATTTCTCTTGTTCTCCCACTCCAGTCAATTATAAACCTTCACTTATTCTTCCCCCCTTCGTCATACATGCAGGAAAAGGAGTCCTACAACAGTTGTAGGGTATAAAGCCAGAGGAAAACTTCACCACTGTTAATAGTCTCTAATTCTGTATCTTCTAAAGTATTTATTATTGATCAGACAGTTTCTTGAATGTGAGAACATTTGCACACCTATGTAGTCTCCATGCCATCTGTTAGCTTCCAGGTTCCTTAATTCCTTTCATTCCACACCTGCATACAATTCCTTCTCTTTTAGTCATGTTAATAGTAATCCTAATAGAGATCCATAACTGCACTCTCA